GAAAATTGAGAAAAAACGCGATAATAAATATATATATTTATCATTATCTATATATATTGTATACACATATAATGTATAGATAAATTTTTACTGAGAAGAAATTTGCTATCAAAAGAAGTCCATAAAGTCTTTATTATTGAAAAATGTTTGCGCGCAATAACATCTATTCTATATTTATGATGTGACATATTACAATTCAAATTGCCGCAATTATATAACGATTAAAATTCGAAATTAGTACTTGCACATTGCTCCGGTGCATTCAATAAAATGTATAATTGCATTTTATTGAATACTCGAAATTACGCAATTTGCCGTACGCTTCATTAAGTAACAGCTGACTCTTTAACGTCACGCCGCACTCGATAATTATTTATCGCGGGTTCCAGGAGAGCGAAACCGGACATCGTAAGGCCCTGGTGCTGTTACGTATACCGCGCGATTACGACCTTGTCCTTGAACTCGATTCGTTGGCTTCGCGTAGAAAGTTTATTGCGAAATTGGAGGCGTTTCTGGCGTCGCAAAAAAAGCATTTCACACTCACGCCAATCGCGCGGGATATCATGCTGGCAAAAGCGGAAACCAAGGAGCGCCGGCAAAAGAAGCTCGAACAGGTTTGTCTTTCCTTCACATGCCTGTGCACATTTATATGAATGCAGCACGCGCAGCTTCGTTGGGCGTCGAAGCGTGGATTAATACCTCGTGAAGATAACAGTAATTCCTTAATTGACAAAGAAGGAAACGAGAAAACATGAATGTATTATTACGTATGAGAATGTACAGTTTCCGTATTAATTTCACTTGTCGCTGCACAAATTTAAAGTATTCATTGTATGCACATGGAAGAGAGTTGTGACATTTTGCCCGATGACATGATGGTCGAAACTGCTTTTAGTTCTTCAGAGAAGCGTACGCGTTGACTTTCGGCTTACGGCCCGGCGAGCGGAGACGGCGATCCGAAGACAGTGACACCGGGGAGGTCGTCACGGTGATGCGCACGTCGCTTTCCAAGAGCGAGTTCGCGAGCGCCCTCGGCATGCGGCCCGACGCGGTCTTCGTGAAGAAGATGTTCAACATCGTCGACAAAGACGGCGACGGCCGGATCTCCTTTCAGGTATAACTTATCGTCGCCAGGCTATATTCGTCGCGAAGCCGCGCTTTTATCTTATTTTGTCTGATCAACTCGTAACTGCCGTTCTTGTCCGACGACTCATTAGCGACTCAAATTCCAGGAATTCCTGGACACGGTCCTGCTGTTCTCGCGCGGCAAAACCGAGGACAAGCTGCGCATCATCTTCGACATGTGCGATAAGGACAGCAACGGCGTGATCGACAAGGAGGAGCTGTCGGAGATGCTGAGGTCACTCGTGGAAATAGCGCGCACCACGAGTCTCTCGGACGATCACGTGACGGAACTGATCGACGGCATGTTCCAGGTGCGTTTTTTTTTGTTTGTTATATTTTCACTTTATTAGATTTTTTATGTTTGATCCTCCCGTCACCGTCGCGCTAACTGCTACGTCTCTCATCGATCAGGACGCTGGACTCGAGAGGAAGGACTACCTCACGTACAACGACTTCAAATTGATGATGAAGGAGTACAAAGGCGACTTCGTCGCGATCGGCCTCGATTGCAAAGGCGCCAAGCAGAATTTTCTCGACACGTCGACGAATGTCGCTCGCATGACCAGCTTTCACATCGATCAACTGCCGCCGGAGGACTCGAAGAGCTGGTCGCGCAAGCAGTGGGACGCGATATCGACCTTCCTCGAAGAGAACAGGCAGAATATATTCTATCTCTTTGTGTTTTACGTGGTCACCATAGCTCTCTTCGTCGAGAGATTTATTCGTGAGTACTTAATCGGATCTAAGTAGGACCAAAAAACATTTAAACATACATTAGAACATTTTCCTAGACATCTTTGAAACATCCTTTAAATATTTCAATCATTCGGAAAGCATTTCGATCCTTTGCCTTATTTTTTTCGCAGATTATTCTTTCATGGCGGAACATACGGATCTCAGGCACATAATGGGCGTGGGAATCGCCATAACCAGAGGATCAGCGGCCGCGCTGTCCTTCTGCTACAGTCTCCTGCTGTTAACGATGTCGCGTAATCTGTTGACGAAGCTGAAGGAATTCTCGATTCAGCAGTACATCCCCCTAGACTCGCACATACAGTTCCACAAGATCGCAGCATGTACGGCACTTTTTTTTTCTGTGCTGCATACGGTCGGTCACATAGTCAACTTTTATCACGTTTCTACGCAGCCGATAGCGCATCTTCGCTGCCTCACCAGTGAAATCAGCTTTCCCAGCGACGCGCGGCCTACTATCTCCTTTTGGCTGTTCAAAACAGTGACCGGTAGGTGCTCGTCGCCCAAGATTTCGCAATTTCGCTCGACATATTTCCTCAACACGTTGACGATTCCCCCTGTTTCGTTCTTGTTACAGGTTTAACCGGTATTCTCCTCTTCATCATCATGACGATCATTTTTGTCTTCGCACACCCGACCGTACGGCAGAAAGCCTACAAGTTCTTCTGGTCGACGCACAGTCTCTACGTAGTCCTATACGCATTGTGCCTGATCCACGGTTTGGCCCGTTTGACAGGCGCGCCGCGATTCTGGATATTCTTCGTCGGCCCGGCAATCATTTACGCGCTGGACAAAGTAATTTTATTAAGCATATACGCTTTTTTCTCTGAAAGTAGAACGGTGACAAAGAAAGGAAAAAATAACTCCCTACTTTTTGCACTTGCATGTATTTGCATAATATTCGTAATCACTTGTAATTAAAAAACTTTATTAATTATGCATGAATCATGTATGATGTAACAACTGTTGCATGTTACGCCATATTTCATTACGCTCATTTAACACAAATCGCGTCCTGTTACTATCTGATATCCGTGATTATTAACGCGATAAGAAAAACGCCGAGTATCGATAGCGTTACCGTACTTTCAGGTCGTCAGTCTGCGAACTAAATACATGGCCCTGGATATCATCGAGACGGAATTGCTACCCTCCGACGTGATAAAGATCAAATTCTACAGACCTCCGAACCTGAAGTATCTGTCGGGTCAGTGGCTGCGTCTCGCCTGCACCGCCTTCAAGTCCAACGAGTTTCATTCTTTCACCCTGACCTCGGCACCGCACGAGAATTTTCTGTCGTGCCACATAAAAGCACAGGGACCGTGGACGTGGAAGCTGCGGAATTACTTCGATCCCTGCAATTACAATCCGGAGGACGATCATCCGAAGATTCGTATAGAGGGTCCGTTCGGTGGAGGTAATCAGGATTGGTACAAGTTCGAGGTCGCGGTGATGGTCGGTGGTGGCATTGGGGTGACTCCCTATGCCTCGATGCTCAATGACCTCGTATTTGGAACGTCCACCAACAGGTATTCGGGCGTAGCGTGTAAGAAGGTGAGTCCAAATCGACAACAATAGTTAAATAAAAGAGCGAAGGAGAAAATATAATTAAATTATCATATATATTTTTTTCGCAAAAATAGATGCTTAAGAAGAATTTATTCATTTACATTTATTTTGCAAACAAATTTATAATCTTCGAGATTGGGATAATTTTATTGCATTTTTTTATTGAGAAGCTAATATTTCTAAAAAAAATATTACGTTAAAAATGGATGGAAACACATTACAGTTGATGTAAAAGCGGCGATTACTTCATTGTTGGAAAGTCTGTTTTACTGTCGAAAGAGAAACGTGAATATGTATAATGGAATATCGTTATAATATATAACCCATTGCGTTGAATTTAACGGTTCATTAAAATGAGAAAACGCTCCCGTTTCTTCTCATTCGGTAACGTGTCACTTTCTTTTTATCCCGCAAAGGTCTATTTTTTATGGATCTGCCCGTCGCACAAACATTTCGAATGGTTCATTGACGTTCTCAGAGACGTTGAGCGAAAAGACGTTACGGATGTACTTGAAATCCACATATTCATCACGCAATTCTTTCATAAGTTCGATTTGCGTACTACTATGCTGGTAAGTGAATTCCCGTATGAGCCGCGGCGGGTGAAAAAGTGCGCGGGGTTTCTACTATATTTAATTATGTCGATCGTTTATTAACAACATTCCGTTTCACATATGTAGTACATATGTGAGAATCACTTTCAGAGGCTATCGAAGAAGAGTATATTCACCGGACTGAAGGCCATCAATCACTTTGGTCGGCCGGACATGACGTCATTTCTGAAATTTGTTCAGAAGAAACACAGCTATGTGCGTTTGTGATATTAATTTTTATCGAGAATGCAAAATTTTCCGCTCAGCGTTTAGAAGCTTGAAGGATGTCTAAGAAAATTCGAAGAATCAAAACGTCCTTCGGGTTTTTGCGCGGCCTGCTATAATATTGATCATTATTTATGAAAATATGCGCGTATCGTATGCCGAATGATATGTTATTGATCCACAGGTTAGCAAAATAGGAGTATTTAGCTGTGGACCGCGCCCTCTGACGAAAAGCGTGATGTCGGGCTGCGACGAAGTCAACAAAACGCGGCGGCTGCCGTACTTCATTCATCACTTCGAAAACTTCGGCTAGTCGGATACACTGCTGCCTGTTCGCATGAGATAACGGACTGTCAACGTGTTTGACGGTCCTCTCATCGTGAGCTTTCTCAACGATTTATTGCAGAATGTACATATTTATGCACTGAAGCGCAGCTTTTTACTATTTATTAATTATCATGAGTATTACATTTCTTATTTATGAATACAAAGAAGAAGATTTCTTTCTCCCTGTTTTCATCTTCCCGAATTTAACATGCAGAAAAACTTAGTCGCAATTTTATTACAATTTATTATGATTAAATATGAATTTATTACGAAAATGCTGTTAAAACGAGATTATAATGAAATTTTATATTATTATAACTTTTTTACGAAAGTTTCGTTTTTTTCATTCGTAATTATAGCGAATGTTCTCAAGATGATTTTCCGCAAATAACTTAAGTTAATGGTGTGTTTTGGATTTCCTCTTTTTATTAAATAATATTAAATAGTATTTATATAATAAAATAGGTATCTAAATGTTCTTAATAACGTTTCGGAAAGTCGATGAGTATCGTAACTGTCTGCAGCATTCGAAAAATATATTAGCCATTAACGGTTCTGCGTGTGGCTGGTGGGAATGGATACGACCAATTACTCTTGCTGGACTCATCGCCGATTTCTTGCGGGTATTCGGACAGCTCGTGCGACGTATAGCCTCGATTAATGACACCTTCGATGTCCTCTTTAGCAGCGTGCCTATTGTGAAGTTTGGACGACAATTGACTGAAACATTTTTAGAGCTGCAGAACGCAAGTACTGAAAGAATAATTCAATTAAAGGAGATTTGTATCAAATAAAAAGCAAAATTTGCAAATTTATTTTTCACGAAAAAAAATTAATAGATACAGTTCTTTATTAAGTATTACTGATTACGGTATTGGAAATGTGGAAAAGTAATTTGTGACACAGTTCTTTGTTTAAATATTATTGATTACGGTATTTGAAGTGTAGGAAAGTAATACTTTATTTAAAATATAGGTATTTTATATCATTGAAGACAGGCCTGAAAATTTCACCTCCAATTTAACACACAAACCTCTTGACCCCCATTAAATTTGGCTGATCAATACGATCGCATACCTCATTATTCGGTCGCCGAACGAATCCTCAATCTTGGGAACTTTCCGCCTAACGTTACGCGTATCGAAACTCTCCTCTATAATGACATGCCTGTCATACGGCGTGTCGTAGTCGACCTCGAGTATAGTCGAGAATTGATGGGGGAAGATCATGTCTATGGCTGTTATTACGAGTCCCGCGAAGAGGCACGCGGCACCTGCGAAGAAAAGAAATCGCGATCACATAATATCCGCGCATTGATATCTGCAACTGATCGTAATCAAGCAGTTTTAACGTGGGGCCGACACGAACCGGCTGATAACACCAGCCAATAGTTCCAGCCGAGGTTGAAGGAGAGAATCGAGCCCTCGATGTGAGCTATCAGTGGCTCGCACGGTAGGAGCGCCGTGTAGATCAGATTCGTCAGCAGCATGCACAGACCCGTAAAGATCATGCCGTACGCCCCGTATCGCGGTACCACCATGAGTAACAAGTTCATCATTAGCCACGAGGCGAAGGAGGTCCTGCGAAAGGAAGATCCATTCATTTCGCGCGCGCGCGCATTAAATGGAAAAAGGACTTGTAAGACTCGAGATGATTTCTACGAAGGTGGGACTTCGTCATCGCGGAAGTATAATATACCATAGCATTATCGAGGCGTAGTATCCAGCTTCGCGATATCGCGAGCCCCAGGAGAACCCCTCCTGGTGGAGGCTAAAGTACTCCGCCAAGGAGACGATGGGGAACGGTGCGCCCTGGTGAAGGGCCTGCTTGAAGGCGTTAGTCATCTCGCCGGAACTCCGCCACCAAAACCGTTCATTGTACTCGACATCGCCGCTCGTCTGCTCGCTACCTGGCAATACTGCAACGATAAAATATCTGGCTGACGTAGGCGGATGCATCGGTTGCGTGAACACTGCTTCGGAAATTGTAATTTACGGCGTGCAATAATGTAGCTCAGAAATTTTAATCTTAATTTTCAAAATTATTATTTTGTTGCATTCAATCAAGTCGCAGTTCGATATCTCGAATTGTGAAAGCGCGTGTAAAAAATTTCAGATATCTGGCTTTCTTTACTGAAACTTACACCTGTACGTTATATTGATGTGCATCAAGCCGATGTAACCGCCGATGTCGGCCGTTGCCTTGTGCCTGGAGAAAGCGCTGTAAGAGCTGACAATGGTAGCGGAGCTCGTATGCCATGATGAGCCGTATTGCGCCACTACGCGCAGAGAGCAGAGCGGTTAATTCTTTCACGCCGTTCGCGGCGTTACATTTGTACGTGATTATCTCAATTAATCATCCCGCAGATAGATTTCGCAATTTTATTTGACAGTCAAAGAAACGTGTTTAGCGTTAAATGTGCGGTTTATTGCAAATATTACAAGCGGACAGTGGCGTAATCAATATTTAATATTCTCTCTAAATATTTTCGATCTCGATTATTTTGTTCTTTCCGAACACTCGTGTTTAAAAATGGTAAATAATGTGTGTATGTGTGTGTGTCGAGGAAAATGAAATTTAAGATAATACGATTCAGTGCTACAAAATATGCAGATGAGTCCATTCAAGATTTTTATTCTCCTTGCTTTCCTATTAATCTCTTCCTCTTCTATTTCTTTTTAATTGTTTCTTCTTTTTTATCGGTCTCGCCGAGCTCTCGCGACTCGAGCTCCGCGGGGCCAATCAGTTAGTTACGCCACTGGCAGCCAAGGCCCCTTGACTTGGAAAGTAGACAAAGTGCACGAACCTTGAATCGTCGCACCCACGAAGAGGCTCAGGGTAACCGTGAGAAATGTGGTTAACCGCTGTGGTAAGAGAAACACCAGGTTTTACACGGCCAGAGCTCGTAATTAATTTTAAATCGTCGGTCACGATCGAGATACGAGCGGGGAGTGGAATACTACTCACCTCCTTCCTGACACCCGGGAATATGACTAGAAACGCCGTGAACAGGGTACCGAATATCACGAATACGATAACCAAGGGAACGTCACCGGTGACGGGAGTGCGGTTGCTGTAGCTGTATAGCGTCGGGCCGCCGTCGCTGCGAAAGGCGTCGAACCATCCCTTCATCTTCCTGGAGATCGGCTATAGTAGTTCCGGCTCGCCGGAATCTGGGCCACTCAAAATGAAAAATTGCATTACCATCCTCGTTTCCAAGCGAAGCAAATTGTGGATCACACAAATCGAATAAACATTTCCTTCGCGAATCGTACTATACACTACTTTCGTACGCTACTATTCCAAGACACCATTCCATTTTTATTTGAAAAAAGTAGCATATACGATCAGCGCAGGCAACACAGACTTTGAGAAGATATCTCTTCTGGGCGTTGCTAGACATTTTATTCAGATATCCTTCTGACTATAGTTATTTCGATAGAATTTTACACAAGTGCGATATATCGCAGCCATTGGCGCGATCCAAAAAGGGCGGATGTCTTTTCCGACTCTTCTTAAGTCTTGATGCGCACCTTTGAATCCCGAAGGATTTCCTAGTCCTTTGAGGGGAATTTACCTACGACCAGCGGGCTCGGCTCAAGGTCGGAGTTGCCAAAACGCTTGCGAAATCCTCGGCATGTATCGAAAGCGCACTCGCGCACCGTGCGACATGTGGGACCGAAGGCGGCGAGTGTACTGGAGGCCCCGAGCCCCGAGTGGGTTAACAGGCTCCGCTTGGAAAGCGGTTTCCACCAACGGACAGACGACCTCGTGCATTACATCGGCGGGAGAGAGAGAGAGAGAGAGAGCGAGAGAGAGAGAGAGAGAGGAGTGAGAAAGAGAAAAAGAGAAGGTGATGCCGCGGGTGGGGCTGTCACCGCGATGGTCATCGACGGGAGAGAATGAGAGAGAAAGGCGAGAGAGGAACGGAGAACGATTCGACGGGAAAGGCTACGTCGGATCAGCTGATCTGATTCCCCCGGATTCGCTCCGGATTGACTTCTGTTGTTCCCTTTTTAAGTTAGATATAGTTTACTTATCAGAGTCTGATTAAGAAATATAGGTATTGACTATTGGATAATCATTATCCAAAATCAATATTCGTTAAACTTTAGCATATCGGCGTTTAACAATGGATTTCCCGAATGGTTTCTTAACGAAGAAAACATTGAACAATTAATTAGTTTCAACATCTACTGTAATATTTTTCAGTGTTCAACATCTCATACTTTTCAAATATTAAGCTTCAATTCTGTTAGGATAAATCGCTCGAAATTAATTGAAAATTATAACACTGTAAATATATTTTCCTAACATATCCTTGTTTTAATTCAACAATAATAGTTTCTCTTTATTTATTAATTATATCAAAATTATCAATTAATTTAAAATTAAACGGGGTATCTTAATATCCTTGTTAAAGCACACTACTATATTCTATCCTCTTCTTTGTTATTAAGTAATTGATATGATTCAATGAATCAGCAATTTCGTACGACGACACGTACGTAACGCGACGTGCGTGAGCGCACGGATCGCTTGGCACGTGGGACGTGGGATGGTATGCGGGTGACATCGATGCCGGCAAACGAGATAACTTTCGCGGCGAGCGGACGAGAGAGATCTTCTTCCGAAGTTCCCGAAATACTCCCAAATAGTTGCATCTAGGGCGATTCGGACTGCCACTTGAATGCTCCATGAACTGGTGACTCGGTTTATAATCGTGGAAATAGAATTACAAGTCTATATTAGAAAACCTTGACTGATTTACAAAAAATTAATTATGAGATATATTTATAATTAAGCAAATTTTATTTTATTTTTATTATAAATAATAACTTTTTCACATATACGTTAAAGAAATATATGTTTATTACACACGCAACACATACACAAGAAGAGAAGGCTAAATTTATAACAAGTAAAAAAGCTTTCACATTTGATCAGAAAATTATTCAAGTGATGCTTATTTTTATATTTAAATAATATTGGAAGGTAATGATATGTATTACAATTTTATCACAATAATTTGGATAAATTTGAAAATAATCCAAGAGTTCTTGTTATTTCACGGAAAGTATAAAACTAAACAATTAAAGATTTTAAAATATTAAATCTTGTTTTACGATAACGTTAAAGATATATGTTTATAAATTTGTATTTATTCAAAATCACATTACAATCTATACAAAATTCTAACAAAATTAATTCAGAATCTGTCAACATATATATAATCAAGCAACTTTTAACGACGATTCGATCTTGTAAACAGCTATGATTTCCTTATCGTTCATAAAACACTTTGATCTGGCACAAGTTTTCTTTCTCTCTTGAATAACGTCACTTCCACTTTCTTCGGTGCACAGCGGAACATTTTGCACGTCGCGATCTCGTCCGATATGTCGATGCCAGACGCATCGAATCGCATGCATCGTGTCGCATATACCGGTAGCGGAAGCGGCGTCGGACCGTATTCGTTCTCCGAGGCCGGGCACAGCGGTATGCCGTGTCCAAGCCGGCTATGCTATACCGCCGCCAATAATTCCGCTATTTCGGGCCGTCTAATTTGGGCCCGGTGACGCTAATGCTTTTAACGGCAGCGTTGATAGCGGAGCATCATCCAGCGCCGTGTCGGCCACCACCACCGCCGCCAGCAATAACCACCGGAACGGCGAGAGTTCGGTGGTGGCGAAACGGCCGCTCGCTGCAGTCTCCCGAGGGCTTGGGCCTCCTACTGCCACCCGCGAAGGCTGGTTCTCCGATCCTTAAGGTAAAAATCAACCCTTTCGTATCCGTCCTGCCTCAGCATTTTCTGCATTTTTCCGCGAATCCGAAAAAATCGTAATTCTTTCAAAAAAGCAATTAGTCCATTTCGGATACAATTAACAACTGGTTAAGTGTGACAATATTTGGAGCGGAGGGACTGTATCTTGCAGTTATTAAAAATTCTCGTAAAGTCGGTGATTAATTTTGAATTTTTCAGTGCAATTATTGGTACGGTTTTTCATACAGTATTCGGTGTCGTTAAATTATGATAATTGAAGTGAAAAATCTGTAATTCTTGGCCTTGTCTAAGATTAATTTATATATATATATATATATATTGATGCGTGTACATCTATTGCAATAAAGATAATAATTAGACGATTATTAAAAGATCCATATCTTTTGTTCCATAACAAAAGAATGACATTAGACCATGTGGCAGTAGTATTGTTTCGAAAGCTTTTTTAACTGATACATGCAATGTATGTGCAGGTTTATTTATATTAACTTCCATAATCTTTTGGAAAAATGTAATGATACATATATATACATTCAGTAATTTTGAAAAAGTTAATTATGATGGATACGAATTATGAAGGAGATGACTCATTGAAATACTGACCTTTTTAATGCCAAATTTGATAAGAATCAATTATGGAAATCTCAGAAGCAACTCTTTGTTTCAAGAATAGTATATGTTATTTATAAATGTTATTTTTACTCCAAATGCGTCGCTGTTTCTGGCGTACATACAAAACACACTAAATTCTTTTATATTTTTTTTTAAAAAAAGATATAAAATTCAGGTTAATTTTATTTATTTTTTATTTTTAATATAAAAAAGAAAACAATGATGCAATTAAAAATTGAATTGAATCCTGTTATGTTCTGAAAACGTAATTATAATATTTATAATTACGTCTACAATTAAATCGAAATAATTCTGAATTCGCAATTGAGGAGGATTTGATCGATACTTTGCATTACTTTAAAGCGTTAGATTTCTCTTTGTGCGAATTTCACCATTTCTCGCGGCTTTTACGAAATGCTTTTCGTCAATTTTACCAAGTCCGAAAACGGGAGCGCGGTCTACGGAAACTGCATTCCTGTATCCGAAAATACGTGACCGTCGACGAAGCGAAAATTCGACGAGGCCGTCATCGTGAGTCGGCGAGCTTCAAGTAACAGGATGGTAAAGTGATCGTTGGCGTGCTGCCACGTGGAATCATTTACTAAAAGTCACGGCTGCGCGATCGAAATGTGTAAGTAACGACAAATAGGATTGGAAGGATGAAATCGCGAATTGAAGTAGGATTAAACACAGGGTGAAATTAATCGGTTTGAAGTCGGATCAAACACACGCGATCCGTTACAACGAACGGTCATGTATAAAAAAAGCTAAGCGCATCAAATCAAATAACAAGTTATTTATTTATTAAAAAAAAGTGACAGGCAAGATAAGGAAATTAACGTGTTGCTACTTAACTTATTTTTAGCCAAAAAGAAAATTTAAAAGAAACACCAAAAAATATTTAAATCTTTAAAATTTCTATGGTGTTTTTTATGAAGTACATTCATGTGTCTGTATTTCTATCGATTACGTGAAAACTTTTGCCAAATCAAATGAAAGAATAATTCGATACAACAGTAAACACAATCCACAACCTATTCTTTTTTTCAAAAATTCAAAAAAATTAATCTGAGAAATATTGAGAAGAAAACAACTTTTAAAAAATTTTTAAACAGTGAATTAGTGGCATCACTGTGTCCTTTTAATTGTTTTTCAATATCTGACTAATGGCTATTTCCATCAATGTAGTTTAACTTTAATCTCAGTTCAACTTACTCTTCATCTTTTTTTTAAATTTTTAAAACTAAAAAAAAGATGAAGAGTAAATTGAGCCGAGATTAAAGTTAATCTATATTGGTGGGCATAAAAAATTGATATAGTAAACCGCGATGAAGAAGAAACAGTTTGATGAACGAAATTCTTTTTGCTGAAATCGCAATCGTTTCGCTCGATTCCTCTGGCGAACTTTCATTCATTCGTCGTTAAGCCGAAAACTCGCGCGAAATCGCGTGGTAATCTCGACGAGGAATCTCTGCGACGAGCACTTCCTCGCGGTAGCATTCGGAGGCGTCTACCTACACGCTGCAACTCGCCCGGCCTATTTATAAAGTGCGACCTCGTGGCACACACCGCGTTCGCCACTACCGCCTACCTATCATGGTCGTCCCGCGTGCAAATCAGCGCGCTGTCTAGCCCGCTTCTTCCTAATTTCCGAACGTACCGAAAAACGGGTCAGAGCTATTTTCGCGCGAAACGGCCCTCAAAAGCCGCGAAAGTGACGACGGCGATGCTTCGTTAGAGCACGCAACGCCGCGTGCACCACGTGTGCGCACCACCTCGTCTCCACTTCGCTCTCTCGCCTTTGTTATCCTCAATAACGGAGCGAATCTCGCAATCTGGGAACGATCTAGGACAAATCTGGGAACGTCACGAAGAAGAAGGTAGGCGTTTGATTCGCTAACGCCACGCGAAGTTTAGCCATGCGATCCGCACATAAAACTTTAATCCGATCGCGATCCCTGCCGTATCGCGTATCTGATATGACGTTGGATTCATTGCAATACGTGATCGTATCGGTGAATTAAATCTGAATTAAACCTCGCAAGAAATCGAAGTCGTCTGACGCTCTAATCGAAAAAAAAATATAAAACGTATTTAGAGAATAAGAATACGGAACGTATTCAAAATTGATATTGATGACATATACAATAAATAATATAAATAACATGTGCAACAATTAAATTTACATAGCACATGTAATAAATCTTGGTTCATAATTTGAAGGAAAATATACAGGTGAAATTACAATTTTACAGAATAACTCGAATATCGCTTTATATCATAAATATTAGTTTTTCAGAAACACAAATATATTAGTCACACATCAAATATTAATTCTCTGTCTAACATACGAGATTCCACTTACGCATCGAGAACTCTAATCTTTCATTGCATTCGCTTATCAAAAGAGACTTTCATTGCGAATAATCGCCTATCGAATTAAAATGGTTTAGCGGGCTGTAACACCTCATAAGAAAAAATCCCTAACTCAGAAATTAAAAAAATGAACAAATCTTTTGTGGCTCCAATATTCTTAAATAAGACGGCGAGAATTTTTTTTTTTTTACTTTGATATTGGTAGGAAAAAAGTAAAATTGTAAATATTATTCTTTCCTAATAGTTCTGTTTACTTTTCTAGGCGTCCAGTCGAGGCGGCGCGTGCCGAAATGTCGGGAATAGAAGGTGAGAGCCTCTTTACGAGCTCCGTCACGACCATGTTGCTTGAGTATCACCGTAGATAGATAAACACGAGTGTCAGTGGAGGAAGTCACAGGAACGAGCGTAATTCAGCGTATGCGTGCAAAAATGTAATGTTCAATATGATCAAACCGTGTAACAAATCAAAATGTGTAACCAGAATGCAGAGCGTATTAACCAAAGACTCTGGACGACCGCATTCTATCGCAATATGAAAACGTACCTCTGTCTACTGCCTCTCCGGGATGCAAACAGTTTACATCCTGTCGCATTTCTGCGATATTATAATCCGCTGTGTTCGCCGCTGCACTGACGATGTTTATTATTAACAAGAAGCGTTCACCGAGCTACGTCATCGATCCTCATAAAACACTGTCTGCCTGTCTGCGAAACGGCCAAAAATAATAAGAATCGTATATGTATATTAATCTTGTGTGTGTCGACAGAACTGAGATTAAAAAACACATGAGTTCAGTACATTTTCATCCTACCACTTTATAAAACGATATCTTCTTCGAGCACAATGTTTTAAAGATTAATAATTATTGTAATATTTTAAAAAAAACTTAATAAGAGATTGTTGCATCTTATTTTACATAACTTATAGTTTTTGGAGTTACACATACGGAAAAAAAAGATGTATTAATATAGCATTAGTCGATAGCATCTAATTGAACATAATCTTGTTAAGTCACTGACAGTATTAATAAAATAAATACGCCATGTTCTTGTTTTAATAAAATTTGTTATTTGTTTCATTATAATACTGTTATTGAATGAACAAAATTATTTTCAACTGGACTACTATTGGGCTAATATTGTTAATACAACATTAATTATTTCCGCATAGAAATCGAATGCAAATTTTTCAAAAGCACAAACATATATTGTCGAACATCAAAGATTTCTTTGCCTCTGACACATGAAATTCCACGACTAACGCATCGAGGACTTTAATCTTTCAAGCCGCGTTGCATTCGCTCGATCAAAAGAGACATCTTTCATTGCGGATGATCGCTTCTCATATCTTTTTCCGATTAACGTAAGTGTACTTGCAATTGCTGAACGATCATTATCTTCAACTCGTTTTTGCAGATTCGCAGGACGCGTCGGAGCAGGATGACGCTCAAGATGAGACCACGGAGACAGTGGGAGTCAGCCATGAGGTAGCGAGCACGATAGAGGAATCGGATAGCTCAGAGTCGACAGAGTCTTTGTCGGAAAAATCGTCGACGAAGGAGCCGGAGGAGGAACAAGAGGAAGTTAAGGAAAAGGAACGAGAAGAAGTAAAGGAGAAGGAACGAGAGGAAGTGGAAGAGACGCGAGCGAGGGAGACGCCGAGTTGCGAAGAGACGCAAAAGGAAGAAACGTCGGCCTCAGGTTGGTAAGCCGCGCATTTCGATCTGCTTATCAAGCACCTACAGCCCTTACGGAAATGCAATTCAATACAATGGCCAATTAAAAATTGGAAATTACTTATTTTGAATGGATAACAGTGATAATCAATAATTGTGTTTTTAATATTCAAAATAAGCAATTAATCATTACCTTTCGGTATTAAATTTGTGTATGAATATCAAGAAGTAAAGAAAGAGAATTCGAGAAATTAGTAACGAAAAAATGTACTTGAGTACGAACGAAATTTTATGCAAGAAAATCATTAAGCTTCGAATGTTGCGAGATGCTTGAATTAAATATGATATAAAAATATTAAGTAATTAACACGAACAATAAATGCAAACAGTAATATCACTATACAATGTGTTATGGCATTGGTCTAAGAGGTACAACTTAGAAATTTTTGCGTATACACTTTTGATACACGAAATTTAATTATGTCAAAAACTAAAGGACTGCTATTAAGAATGTTACACGTTTGTATAACACGTTTGAAGAATAAGATACATTGTATCAAAATATATCGTTGAAACAGTAAGTTAGAATACACAGTAGACGTACACTTTGGTTTCTGAGAATTTGAAAATTTGATCTCGTGCCATCTTGCTTTTGTTACCTCCTTCCAACATTAGATACTTTGATATAATTAAACTTGCGAGAGAAATTAAAGCGCACCTGCGCTTGAATTTAGGTAAATAATACAATTCTGTTATATCTGATATTAGGAGAATTATTTCGCGAAACGTGATGCGTTTTCAACTTTTGAAAATTTAGGTTTACGTTGATTTCCGGCTCGATTCTTCAGTTAGAAAAAATTAATTTCCGCTTATCTATCTTTAACGTTGAGAAATTCTTCGTTCGAAATTAAGTACGGCGTTTCTGGGACATCTCGCGCGCCGGTTAAAATAGAAATTCTATCAACTTTAAAGAAATTGCGCACCAACGCACTGCGTTCGAGACGGCGTGTTTACCCCGTCGCACTTGTCGGAACCAATCGGCGCTGCTCACCCAAGTCGTCGACGTGTTTGCGTTAGCGCTGCCATTATTCGCATCGACGTTCACGGCGTTTATTTGAATAGCGACGTCAGCGGATAGTTCGGCGCGGATATACGGCGATCTGCGTTTCGCGGTGTGTTTCAAGGAAATCTAAACTTTCTTACGCGCGAACTATTTCGGTCGCGCGCTACAGGTTCCCGCGTTATTTACAAATCTTACGTTCTCGCGGCCGATATACAATTATACACACAGTTACCCGATACTACAATGGAAATGCCCGATTTAAATTCTCGGAATATGAAATATTGTTACGCACAACGGAGACTGATGGCGCTCTCAAAAATAGAATTATTGACGAGAACGAGAGAGGGAGAAAGAGAAAGAAGAGAAGTGTAGAGAGCGAAAGAGAGAGAGAAAGAGGGAAAAACATAAGGCGATAGAAATAGCATAGAGGGAAAATACGTTGTTAAACCAGGACAATGAACGGAATGAAAGAAGATGAAATAGTGTGTGAAGAAAGAGAGCAGAAAAATTGGCACAAAGACGATTCACAAGTAGAAGAGAAGTACCACAGGCTAGACGTTAGTGTGTGCAGAAAGTATAAAGCAGAAAATCTCTGTATTGCCGCTACAGTTTTGAAGTTCTCGATTCCGTTAGGCAAATCAAAAAGTGTCGTTTCTGATCCGGACGCGTTTACAGTCCGCAGAAAGAAGGCTGCGCTATACGAAAGCTTTCCCATCCGGAAAGAGAAATGGAGAATGGGCGGTTGGGGAGCAATAAGTGGAACGCGCAACAACTGGGGTACAACCAATGTTATGTATCTGTGCGCACGTTCGTCCGCTACCTTGTCCCATTTTTGAATGCAATAACAGGCAATAATTTAAATGGAATACATTTCCGGATTACTTTTTAATTTTTAAACGACGGCGGTAAATACGGGACGGCTTTCAGCCGCCAATAGAGCGTGTTAGGGCGAGAAGCAAGAACAACTTATTGTTAGCCAGGCGTCACTTCCTTCTGTCAAATCATATAGCGTCAGGCAGCCTCAATTCTCTGACATTATTTCGCAATCGGCGTCATTGTAACGCCTTCGTATTCCAAAAATAAAAATGCGACATTGACGGTTGCATTGACGGTGCAATAACAACGCGACAAATGTGATTAATGAGACAGGCGAGGCGCGGCGGTTAGGCTGTTATTAGACGATCCCCGCTGCGCGCAAAATCGCACAGCGCGATAAAGAAACGCGCGAGCGTTTTCGGGCTTTTGTGACTCGCCTCGTAACACGCGGGTAGTTTTACGCGGCGTGCGGCGCGCGCCCGCCTCGCCACGCCTCGCGCCGCCTCGCCCCGCTTCGCTTCGCTTCGCACAGCAGCTGCACGGGCGTCGAACGAGCGACCGAAAATAAATCCCCGCGGAGAGAGAATCCCCGTACGTTGTTTTAAATAAAGCGAGCGCGCGCGCGATAGCCGAAGCCGGTCAGCGCGCGCGTTCGGTCGCGATCTCCGCTCGCGCGAGCCGCACGTTCTTTCTCTCTCTTTCTTCCCCTCTCGAGTCCTCGCGAGTCGCGAAGAAATCGCGCGTCCGCGCGCAGCAGCAGTAGCGGCAGCGCGACAGACGATCGTAATCGGGTAAAAATATATTGTGTGTTCCAATAGCGCATTAAAACTCACTGCAGTGCGCGGCCTCTCTTCCTCTCTTCCTCGCGTTTGCTCGCTCGCGCGCGATCGTCCGCGGTCGCGCATCCCCTAGGAGAGGAGGATTAGCGGTGCAATCGCGATACGATCGTGCGATACGTCCGAGGTATCGAAGCTCGCGCGCCGCGGATTCGCGCGGGACGGATTGTCGCGCGCGAAAACCGGTTGTTTTACAATGCTTCTAACAAAACTGCCCCGCGACCCGCTCCCAGCTCGCGAGACGCTCTTAAAACGCGCGACGCGTTGACGTGCCGAAGAGAGACGTGCCGAAGCGGCTGGACGTGCGCGAGGTCTTGACAACGCGTGTTTCTTCGTGGAGCGATAAGCGAGCGTGGAGCGAGTTACATTCGAAAACGTGGTGTCGACGTGTGGAAATAACGCGTTGTTTTTTCTTTTTCTCTTTTCGGTTGGATTTAACGTGGACGAGTACGATTTGTCAAAATTTATAGTCTAATCTCTCTCGCGATCATAAAACAGTGCTTCTTCAGTTAAACGAATATCTGAATAGTGTTTTCATTTATGTAATATTTTGTCATTAGTATTTCTCTTATCGTTTATAGAATAATTTACGCTGCTCTACTTTCACGGTTTTTTTTTTCAATCGTGCGATATATGCGACAACTAAAATATAATCCGAGTGTAAAGGTGGCATGGATGGTGCTTTTGAAAACGCGAATGTCGAAAGCTCGGAGGATCTTGACGAAGGTCTCTGTTTAAAACGATAAATCGTTGCAAAGTAATTTCAGGAAGCGAGAAGCGAGTATGAGTAAATCACCGACGCGAGCAATCGAATTGTACATAATTCAGTCGAGAAGCACCACTTGTCAAGATTTACACTCGGACTCTTCAATCACGGATTAAAAATAGCGATCGTTCTGGCAGAAAAGAGCGCAGTGAGTTTTCTTCCGCTATTCGACTAGCAGTATTTTACCGCGGGCAACATTTTCTTCGCAAAGTCTGAAAACATAGTAGGTATGCGTTTTCACACTTGCGTATATATACATAATACATATATGCATAGTTTTATTCTAACGTATAGAATTGATTTCCTCGTCAGTTAATTTTTATACAATACCTTTTATGTAATATTTTTATATAATTATCTGCCAATGAATCCATGTTAATTATTTTATTAAATATTATATAGAATATAAAAATATAAAGTCCATATAAACTGTACATAGTTATAAGTATATTGGAGATGCTAAAAATATTTATCTTTGTTACATAACGATCCAGTGATCATTACATATACATACAATACGAATGAAAAATTTGTCTGCTTCTTTTAAAATCATACAAAGAAATATATTGATTAAAGAAATTATATATTTTGCAATAATTTACGATATTCAGCGATATAACAAAATTAACAATTGTAGAAAATAGAAACAAAAAGCGCGATAATTATTTTCATTAAAATTTTTATAAAGCGATAATCAATTTTAGAGCAAAACCAATATGATGAATTTTATATAAGCTCTACCTTCTTAGATAATCTAATCGAATAGACTCGATGTGATTATACATATGAATAATTTTCAATTACCGTCCTATCTTTCCTCCGCAGCAGAGCTGGCGACCGTCACGAGAAGCGCGTCGTCGGACGACGGCGCGCCGGTGTCGGGGGTAGCCGCGAGGCAGGCGGAACCGGGTGTAGGGGTGCCATTGGCAACCACCGTCGACGTCGGAGACGGACAGCAGCGTCGCACCAGCGGCGGCGGTGCCAGCGCGGCAGTCGGTGAGTGGAATTCATTGCCGGTACTGGTAGAACGTCTGCGCGAGGCGCTCGAGCGATCCCTGGCAGCGGGTTGCCAGCGGGGCGACGAGCCGACGGCGACGTCGCACGCCGCGCTCGGCGTCGGCGCCGGCACCGACGTGGTCGGCGACCGATCACCCTGCGCGCGCCGTTGTATGGAACTGGCGTTGCTCGGCAGCGACCACGGTTGCGACCACGACGTGCCCGTATCGAGGAAGGACGAGCTCAAGTTCCTGGAGGATCTGCTGCTGTCGGACATCCAGACCGCGCTCTCCCGTTTGCGCGAGACGCTCGAGCGCACGGACGTCGCGACGCTCGCGAAGCACGGCGGCGTGTCGGATCCCACGAGTAAGCTACATCTCCTGCGGCTGGTGTCGAGTCTGCTGTCGCGGCTGCAGGTGCCGGTGGAAGAGAGGGAATCGGGTGGCGGCGGGGGCGACAGGACGATCGACGTCGCGACGCAGGGTGGCAACGGCGCGCCGCCCGGACGAAGACGGCGCCCCGTCAGGCACACCATCGGCGTCTCCGCCGAGGAGATCGCGCGTGCGAGAAGGCAGTTGGAGGAGAGCAGCGCTGACCTGGCGAGACTGAACGACCAGGTGTTCTCGATTGAGCGACTCGAACCACTGTTGCCCGCGTCGTTGAACTCGACGAGCGGCGAGAGGCCGCACGTGGAGGAGATCCATGACAAATACACGAAGGACGTGATCAATCAGCGTCAGTCGTTGCGCGACAAGAATAAGGACACCGGTGGATACCGGCCGCAGCTGCAGATCCCGCCGCAGATCGGTTACGCGGATCGGCCGGCGATCGCAACTAGAACGGTGGATGAGTCGAACGCGCGCCAGACCCGATATCAGAACGACGGTTACCAGGAGAAGGTGAGCGACGACGACGAGGAAACCGCGATCAAGAGAGCGTGCGAGGAGAAGAGTCGGGTGACGAAACTCGCGGCGGCGCTTCGACAACGCGCGGAACTGATCAGCGCCGGCAGGTGCAACAACGGCGGCAACAAGTTCGCGGCGAAAAAGTCGAAGATCAAGCGCGCCAACACTATCGACATACCGAGCTACCTGAAATTACAGACCGACGGTCTCGGTTACGACAATCCCGGTTGCGTAGTGCTGCGACGTCCCATCAACGTGGGCGACAAGATCACCACGAACGCGCCCAATCTCGCCGTGCCGTCGTTCCAGCCGAGAACGGAGAACGACAAGAAGTTCCTGGCGCTGATCAGCCGGAACAACGAGAACACGTCGGTGTACAACGCCACGCCTGCCTTTGTCAAATCTTTTGGCTACACCAAGGCAGCGGACATGTCGCAGACGAACGAGAACTGGAACAGCCGGTTCTCGAACATCAAGACCGCTTTCGACAAGCCTTCGTCTACGAATGACATCGACAAGTCGTCACCGAGGCTGCAGAACACCGTGAAACGCTTCCCGAATACTCCCCAAAACACTCCCCAAACGTCTCCTCAAATTTCGATGGGCAAGAAGACGCCGATCGACAGCGGCGGCGCGGCGCACAACGGTTTCCCGTTCGCAAACGCAAACGTGCCGCAGCCGGACGCGGGCTTCAGACACGCTCCTTCGTCGCTGTTTCGGAAGATCGAGAAGCCCTGCACCCCGACGTCCCCGCCCGGCCATCACTGGCCAAGGGACAACGCGCCACCGTCCGGAAATTCCTTACGCGAGAAAGCCAAGATATTCGACCGAAACGGCAACCAGTCTCAACCGCCGTTCAACGTGAACGAGAATATTAAAAAATCCGCTTTCCCACGACCACCGTGGATCGAGCATGATCGAAATGACAGCAAATCGAACAAAATGGTCACTGAGAACGGACGGCTCGATTACCGGTTGTTCTGCAAGCAGTTCGCGCCCTTTGTCGGCAAAAACGCTACCCCGGAAGTCAAAAGCGTCGAGGATTCTCGCAAGCGCAACGAACACTCGAACGCGCATCGCAAGAATTTGGCGCCATTAAACGAGAAGCGAGAACGAGAAGGCGTGGTGGACGGGAAAATTTCTTTCAGGGTGTTCCCCGAGAAAGGACCGCAGGTGCAGTATCGCCCGAGTGAGCCGCGTCGCGTCGTCGAGGAATCTGTTCAGGATAAATTTGATCTTCGCAGCGAGAAGAGTGTCTTTGAACCACTGGCCCCGGTGCGCAATAATAAAGATTCCGGAGCTTCGTTCGCGGGGAACGCACCGATCGATGCGATGTTCAGAGGTAGCTCGTCCGTGGCCATACAGACGGGCGTCAACGACGACGGTCATCCTGAGGAGGCGCGAGTGTTTCGAGTGACTCCTAGGGTCGCAAAGGGGCCACCGTCTGCGTACAATAATGCATCCGTCCAAACCCACGAATCGGGAGTGCAGGAAGCTAAAGATCATTGGACTCCTCAGTACGACACGATTTCGACATCAGATTCGAGTAGTTACCGTCCTGTCGGGGATTCGAGTCATTTTGTCCTGGATCACAATCGTAATTATCACTTAACAACCGATATTGCTGCGAGAAACGAAACTCTGCCCTTAGCGAACAAGAATGCTTACGACCTTATCAAGAAAGACACCGTTTCCGTGCCGTATTCGACGGAGAAGATTCCTTTTCAACCGATTTCCGGCCTAGAATCGCCGGAACAGCGCGAGTCAATTTTCCGAACGAGTCCGCGATGTGAAAATTATTTCTCGCCTAAATCGGTGCTCGATAATCAATCGCAAATTTATCCAACTTTTAAAATCTCGTACGTTAAACCCAACAAAGATCCGTTCGAGGAACGGATACCAAGCGTGTCGCATGAAATCGGCAAGGAAGATCTACGTACGAGCGACGGCGCCTTGCCGGAGGAACAGAATATCCAAAATCAGGATATCAGTGCGGACGCCGGTGTCGTTACGCGGTACACCTGCGCGATCGCGACTGTCGCGTCCGCGGACGTTCCAGCGGCGCGGGTCGACGGCGGACACAGACAGGAATCTGGAATGTCACCATCCTCCTCCTTGTCACCCTCACAGCTCTGGCCGTATCCCAAATCGACCGACAGCGAGACCACCACGACCGCGGAGGACGAAATACGTCGGCACAATATGTTGCAGCAGAACCTGGTCCGTCAGTTGCAAAACGAACGAACGATGCTGAACGATTATCATACGCCTGTCGTCAATCAATCTAGCAATTTTAATCAGCCTAACAGCTTTCATCAATCTCTGAGGTTTCAGCCGCTCGAAATGCCGAAAAGCCCGGAGCCGCCGAAAAGACCGGAACTGCCAAAGAGACTGGAACCGCCGAGAAGGTCGGAATCGTCGAAAAGGCCGGAACCGCCGAAAAGGCCGGAACCGCCGAAAAGGCCGGAACCGCCGAAAAGGCCGGAGCCGCCGAAGAGATCGGAACCCGGATCGCCGAGGAGATTGATACCGAGGAAATCGGAATCGCCCAGGAAGTTAGAGTCACCGAGGAAATTGGAGCCTGCACCGGCGGTCGTCACTGGTTTGCTGTCGGTAGCACCGTCCTCCGGATTCAGCGCGAAGAATCGAATCACCGCTCTCAGAGAACAGTACGAGCAACCGGGCGGTCAATCAAAATCCAGCCAAAAAGAACCGATCCCGAACGGCGCGATGGATTCCAGCGACGAGTACCTCGTGTCCTGCACCAACAGGCCGTCCAGATCCATCGTCCTGTCGAAGTCCGAGTCGTGGCATCAGCTGGCACTCTCGAAGAGCCATCACGCTACGTCACGTCCGGCACTGAGTAACTTACCGCCGCAATCCTTCGCTGGCACCGGGTCCTATCTTCCGAAACCGCCCAAGCCGAAATCGCCGTCGTCCTTCAAGATGAAGAAGCAATACGAGGCATCCTCGGACAGCGTGAAGAAGATGGAGGATAAAATACGTAGGTACTTTGACAATCCGGCGAACGACGGCGCCGCGGAGGCGAAGGACTCGAAAGGTAGACGTTTCTCGTCGCGCGACTCGGTGAAAAAGGGTCTTGTCAGTCTATCCAGAAGTCGCACCATGCCGGGGATATGCGACGAGAACCTGCGCCTGGCGATCCCGGCAGTGCCGCAGATTCCTGTAGCGAGCCTCAACAGTGCCGACGTGGACAAGGTGTTCGATGACATCTTCGAGGAGGCTACCAAAACTGACGATCATCGCTTCTGATCGGCCGATCTTTATCATGTCGGCACGATGTATACTTGGGAGACTTGGTGGCGATAAAAATGGTGTCCATTCGGATACCTTTGCGAGTAATCTTTGTGCAAAAGCCAGCGATATTTCGGCATGTTGAACATCGTGATAAAAGTACGATTCTACAATCACCTGCATTAATCTTATCACGGCTATGTAGCGATCGATCGACAACGTGGATCATTAAACTGTGATCTTGCTCACTTTGATTCGCATGGCCGGCCGTCGAGACAGCTGACATCCAGGACGACGCATCGTCGCGCATAGTTACAATAATTCTAATCAGACTGTTTACGTTAGCAGTTTGCATACGATTATTATTGTTGACTATTTGTTTTCATAAGACAATTTCTGTAAGCATTAACTAAGATTTCAGATTAACTGGGATTTAACTGTTTTTCTATACTTCCCCCCCAAGTTGGCTTCGACTACTGTCTTGAAAACGGCGTGCCCTATATACATAAAAGTGAATCCATTATTATCTCTAACTGCATTTTATACACAAAATGTCACGTGTTTCAGTCATCTTTCATGGATAATCGAAATGAAACTGAAGGCAGATACGTTAATGGGTTTGAGACCTACTGTATCTAATTTCCTGCATGTAATTCTCGCGATCTTCTCGCAATCGCCAAGATCGCTCTAAGTTTGAAATTTGTATATCAAAGCACACTTCGTATCAGCTCGCAATACTACGAGGGTGGATCTAATAGATCCGATTAGAAGCTACATCTTTGAGGAACAGAGAAGCGTTTTGCGATGTCGTTGCCCGACACGAAGCTACATAACTCTCTGCGAAAATAGCATGTTTCGTGCAACCACGGTGGAGAATTGACATACATGGTCTTCGTCCATTACGAGAGACGGTAGTGCAGATCGATTCAACGACCATCGCCACCGCCCGGTGTCCAGCGCTCCGCATCACTCTTCTCGCTCAACATCACCTCGCTTCTGATGGCACATGCGCGGGAAAAGTCGAACAACGTGGAGCCGCTATGCCGAAATCTGCTGTAACCAGCGAGAAATAGAGAACATCGCGCAACGCGTCGATTAACACCGCCGTTACTCTGCTCCGCATTACTTAGCTACGAGCCATAGAATCCGCATATATTACACGCGTGACGCTCGTGGCTCGCGCTCCTTCCCTTTCTCTCACAATTTTTTCTCTCAACCCTTTTTTCTTCTTTTTTTTTTAATCTAAATCCAAGCGAGCGCGACGCGCACGTTCTCGCGGACGGAGTCGCTAAGAGAGGACCAATGCCAATCCCCGAATAAAGCAGTGAGTCACAGCCCTTATTTTTGTTGATCCTTTTGTTACGCAGTGACGTGTACAGTTTGCACTGCTGCGAGTGTGTCTAAAGAGTGTAATCATAGTGTACGTGCGCTGGTACAATTGCAGAGCATAGCGATGCTGTGGTGGATGCTCGAGTAACTCAGCTTAGACCTCTCGAAAACATCCCCCGAAAATAAATGGACGTTCTATAAAAATCAAATTTTATCAGCAATTTTTTTTTCTCCATTTAGGATGTATAGCTCCACGATGCGCATGAATGTCGCAATTGCAGCTGCATATTTCGCAGTATTCGTGAAACGCATTACATCCAATTAATTTTTCCAGAAATTTAACAGGATTTTTTTATATTTGTGAAATTGATTTTTTTATATTTCGTGGTGCGCAATATTGCAGAATAATAATTACAATTGCACGCGCACATAATATTTTTTAATCTTATATTATATTTAATATTATATTTATTATTCTCTTTCTTTATACGAAAAATATAAAATTGAGCAACTTTTTGGACGGATGTTTTTGCACGGAGCACTTATGATATTGAGCTGGCATGGGAACAATCTTCACACACATGTTTACAAACAAAATCAACAATTTCTACGCGTAACTTTGCTTCAATGTTCAAAACTGTCATTCAATTCTGCAAATTTGCGTGAAAATTATAATTGATCCTCAGATACAAACTAGAGTAACAGAAAGCTCTTTATCGATGACCAAAATTTTACGCTAACTAAGTTGTACATCCAACAGATCTAGACATAGAAGATTTCTGAGATTAAGATTGACATTTTTTAATCTCTTCTTCTTTTCGTTGGTCCTTACGAATTATACGGAAAGAGAATGGCAAAAGAATTTGAATTCCTTACAAAACGCGTCGCCTGACCATGCAAATCTACCCATGCTTGCCGCCACATTTCGTGACGTCCTCGTGGAAGTACAAGTGCATTGTGCGGACATACTTTTTCAACGCGTGCATGGCGATGGCGGTTGATCGATCTCGGTCGATCAATGAATTTAGCATCTGTCCACTTTTTACAATCGTACTCGATTCGAAACGCCCCTTTTTTTTGTCATTTCCTCGTTACTGGCCGAGAATTACTAAAGAGATATTCAGACAATTAATATCTGTACAGACACATGTATATATTCTCCGTGATTGCCATACCCTGTTCTCATACTAAACTGTTATTGAATTTGTTTGTAAGACAACTAAATGCATGTCATCACGGGCACGCAACGAGAGTGAGAGATGAACGATTCTGCTAGATCCAGACTTTCTATTAATTCCCACCTCTGACGCCTTTGTGACCAGGATTCGAGTTATAGACAATTAAAATAGATATAGAGAGACATTAACATTTCAGTCAGATCTTAGTATGCATCTCGACGCGAGTCTAACATATCGTCCGCTTTTGAGCATTTGTAGCTTTATAGCGCCCTATTTTTTTTTCAGCTCCGAAAAAGCCGCTGTCGCCGTTTGCCAAATTTCGTCAGCTCGATAGGCAAAATAGCGCCAGTTTGTCGCCAAGGTGAGAATTGAAATTAAAACTCGACACGTAATTAAATTAATTAAAGCATGATATGTTATATTATCGATTACATTGTGATTGCTTTAATGCAGAGAGAAAGAAGAATCTGATTAATGAAAAAAAAAATATTAATTAATTTACATCTTGCTGAATGGCTCATCTTTTGTCCCGTGATTTGTCTACTTAGCCCTGTAAAATCACCGGGAACGGACTTTCGATTCAAATTTACCGAACCAACTGTACGAGACAATGCTGCGCAAATTAAGGAGCGATTACTGGCGTGGTGCCGATCGAAAACCAAAGAGTATGAGGTAAGTCATGCATCGTGTGTGTTTTGTAAAATAATATTGACCCGACACTCGCGCGGACTGTTACGACACCCTCGTATAATCTATCAAGGGAAAGCGCTACGCTGCAGTTAACGAGTTGTTGAATTACGTAAAAGAAGAGCTTCCCCCTCTGTTTCAGAACGTGCAGCTTGACAACTTCTCGACAAGCTGGAACAACGGTTTGGCATTCTGCGCGTTGATCCATCACTTCAGGCCGGATGCTTTCGACTACAATTCTCTACGTCCGGAGAATCGCAGGAAAAACTTCGAGCTCGCTTTTACGAAGGCCGAGTAAGAGCTCCGAATTTTCCCTTTCCGCACCGAGAGATGCTCTGCAATTGTTCTTCTTTTCGAGAGTTCCATTAATTAATTATTTCTTCTTTATTATTTGCAATATCCTGCAAGAACTTTTCATCTTTCTTGCAGCGAAGTCGCTGGAATCGCGCCGCTACTTGACGTCGAGGACATGGTGATGATGCAACGGCCGGACTGGAAGTGCGTCTTCACATACGTACAGTCGATCTATCGTCGCTTTAAGGATGAGGACTAGCGGCTTAGCTTATAAATCAGCAACAGCAGCAACGTAATTCCACTTCACGCCAAGACATAACACGACCGCCTACTTGTAGAACAAAGTTTTTTTTTTACTTCGTACGTGGCTAGAATAACAGCCATTTATTTTTTTTATATACATACAGGATTGCGGTGTTCCTGTGGACACATGTAAATCTGGTAGTTAAGCGTAGAATTTCAGACAATGTCTTATAATGAATGATGACGATGACAATGATGACGGCAACGATGATGATGATGATGATGAGTCATTGAAGTCGGTCTCACAATCGCGTGAGAAGCTATATGCATTCGTACATGTCTTATATTTTCATATTTCTCGCATATTTTCCTGGCACGCAGCCTTTACTAACGTGTAACTACTTTCTACCGATGCTGATGCAGCGGCTAAGATGATTTATTTCTACATATATATACGTACGTGAAAATACACGATAGTATTTACGTGTAAGCAAAATGTGTAAAATCGCTAAAATTAGTGACATTAGCGTCGATATTATAAAAACTAATTAAAACGCCTTGAGAGTACCAAAGAAATTTCTCAAATAAATATGTGATATAATAAGAATTTTTCAATTATTCTCCTGATACGTTATATCTTATAGATTTTTAAGTTTGAACCTTTGCGATTCTTAAATCTTGTGAAATTCTCAAAATTCTTAAAATTGCAATTTTTAATATTTTAGTTAGTGTAATCTCTTATCTGATTATATTCTGATAAGTATTTCGTTGATTTTTATCAAATTAAATTTAAACAATGGGAAAAGAGTTGGATGAGTATATAGTACATATATAAATAAAATTTGATACACTTCATCGATTGTAGGTTTCTCTTGACAAGTCGTAGCTTCTCTTTCACCTTTTTTATGACTTCGAGAAAATTCCGTCAATGTCTTGCATACAGTAATTAATATTTAAATTATCAAAAATACATCAGAAAAATATCATTAATTAAAAAGTGGAATTTATTCGAATTTTTGGAATTTTTAAAACTTTAATTTTGAAAGTAAATTGGGTTCTTTTGTAAATGCATTATTCTATCAAGTAAGTCAAGAGTCATACAAATACTGTTACAAATACTATTGCGCCTGGAAGATTGTTCCTGCGAAATTTGCACTCTCGTCCGCACACCCGCGGGAAAATGAATTAAGAAGTCCCACCAAGAAGAAATGCAATAATTAAATGTATTTTATAAAATATATGGTTCATTTTTTAATTTATAAATTACTCAATACAGCTAATTATGCTGTAAATTATACTACAAATCTGCATAATTTTTTTACACGTTCACTGGACGTCCACCGAATATTCTATGGATATCAAGGATTTTTAGCATATCCACTGCAATTTCATAAACAAATATCCCATGAACAGTCTACTGAATATCTGAAGGACATAAAATGGATCATTTATGGATTTATGGATATCCTCAATATCCTTAAAAAATGGATATTCATAGAATATTCCGTGTGCTGTCTGATGAGTTATTATATATATATTATAGCGTTCTAATTTCTAATGACCTATTGACCTATAAATGATCGAAATTTTATGGAAACAATTGACAAATTTAATAAAATACAATGTAATTTGTTTTGTCTTTTATTAGTTATACTTTTTGCTTCTTTTTTCAAATCAAATTAATTCAAATTAGATTTGTTTTTACTATATTTATTATTTCAAACTAATTTTGAATTCAAATCGGAAATGGATTTGTTCCAAATATGCACTTGAACTGATTTCCAACTATCAGAAAACTGCATAGCATCTCATTTTGACATAATTAAACAAAAAAATTTCGTGATGCATTTTGATTCTTGACGACTACAAACTGAAAACAAAGCCCTACAATTTTCAGACTTATCCCTTATTTTCTCTAAAAAAAAGTGTGGTCATTGATCACCGTAGTCATAACTCTAACCTAACTTTTCTCTCTCTCTCTCTCTTTAATTTTCTCACTCACTCACTCAGTCACTTCAACTCTAACCTATCGTTGGCTATCGCAAAGAGATACTACGATCGGTCGTAATCAAAGTAATTCGAACTGTCTCTTGCAACGTAGTTAGGCTGAGATATTTTTAACGTGTGCATAATTGTGATATCGATGGAGACCGTACCGAAAGATTTGCGTGGATTAAGAGCGTGTTTGGTATGCTCTTTGGTTAAGGTGGGTATATTTACCATATTTCATACACTTTACGTTGCACCATAACAATAATCAGTTCTTTAATTAGGCTGATTATTGCAAGAACTTGCTCATACCTACAGAATGAAGACAGTCACAATTTTACTCCACAGACTTTTGACCAATTCGAATTTGATGGATGCGACAACTGTGACGCTTTTCTTTGTATGAAGAACAATAAGGATAATGTTTTCGATTGTACGAGTTCCAATTTTGATGGGTAATGCACAGCAACAGATGTACATTGTCTAAGAATGATTTTTCATAGTATACATTAATGCTTCTTAAATAAAATTTAGAAGTATTGGAAATATTTGACATTAGCTTAATAATTTTTTGTATCTTTAAGCAAAGATTATTAAGAATATACTGTACATTGTGAAAGGCTAGTGACATTAATTTTTTACTTATATCCTCAATTTTAATAACTATCTATTCAGAATATTAACAATGTCTTATTTCAATAAGTAATTCTATTGTAAAGAGATTGAAAATATGATTTTTCCATGTATTCATTTTGCTTATGTTTCACTTTCTAGAATGATTGCTGTAATGAGTCCAGAAGACAGCTGGGTATGCAAATGGCAAAGAATAAGTAAGTATATTGTATGTACTAGATAATATTTCTCTATAATAATTAATGTACTTTTAATAATTAACTTTTAGTAAATAAATAATTAATGTACTTTTATAAATTATGAATATATTTTTCTAAATCATTAATGTACTTCCAAATTATTATCAATATAAAATTGCAACTTTCTTATTGTATACTTTTTCTATTTTATTTAAAGAATTTCTTTGTATTTTTTTGTTTCAAAGGTGTGCAATATACCATTAAAGAAAATATAAAATCATCAATATAAATATGCACATCAAAGTCATTTATAACATTTACAAATTGCAATACACGTGTTTTCGATATTTTAATAAATATATTTCTGAGATTTTCATTTTTAAACGTATAATACATTTATACAGACATATTACTTTTACAAATGCCAGTATGTATTTATCTAGGAACATACTTATGTGCGTGTATACTATATAAAGATCTGTTTAAGCAAAATGCTATGCGCGCGCGCGCACACACAACTTTCAGAATTAAAACTGTATCTCAGTCTAATCGCGTCGATAATGGCCAATGATTAATCTCGAGATTCTGTTTTTCCTCAGACCGGTTTTGCAAGGGCGTATATGCTATATCAGTATCAGGACGATTACCGGCTGGTGTCATCAGAGAAATGAAGAGCAGAGGAATAGTGTATAGGCCGCGCGACACGAGTCAACGTTAATTATTAGAGATTTCTATGTAATATGTAAATATTTAACTTTTCTTAATACTGCATTAGAACTAGATCAATCGAAATACGATCATTGTATTCATTTTGTTAAGCTAAATGTCCTCGCATGAACAATTCAATATAACATCGCTTGTTTGCTACGACATAACTAAAAAAATCACTTTTTTTAGTCGCTTGCAGAGAAAAGAATGGAATCATCAGAGAAAAAGAAAGAACATATTTCTATTTCTATTTCTCTACAACGTTATTACAAAATTGTATTTCAGGATTAATATTACAAAATTTTGATCATTTAAAATGTTCGAATTCTTTTCTAACAAACTTTATTTTTTTAGTTTTGTAGCAAATGAGCGATTATATGACATTAAGAATTTTTAAAAAGTATAAGTTTAATAAATAATTTGTATGAACATTGAATCTGCAGTTTTTGTTTTGTTTATACACATACCTGTGAGATTTCACTAGATTAAATGCGAATTGTATTCAGAACTCCACTTTTAAAGATCACTTTTTTACGATAAATTCCTCTCTCACTCTCTCTCTATGCATTACATTAATAAGATCTGAACAGTACAATTTTATTTTGAATTTTAAAGCCTTGCAATTTGCAGATTAACGTTTAAATGTGACTTCCTGGACATATAGATGATTGACAGAGTAAAGAGTATCGCATCACCGGCAACTGATTGTTCACGCAATTGAGCCATAGATTTGCGCATGTTACATGATAGTTATTATCGTTATACACGACTCGACCACTCGTGATAACTGTTAAACACAGGGAACAAGACACGCATTCTCCCTGATGTAACGGCCAAGCTGGTAGTTCAGTGACAATCTGAAATACATTAATATATATAAATGTATTCTAAGAGCTTTGCTTGAAGATGGATACGCATATCGGAGAAGAAACCATATACAGAGTAAAAACGTTAGAATATAATAAATAAATGTAAAAATATTAATTTTTATTTAGGCAATACTTACTGGGATGTTTGCGTAAAAGGGTTCCATTTCAGCCCAGATCCGATCAATGTCCATTAAAAGGTCATCAAATCCGATGATGTTTATATCCAATTCCTTGTATGAAAAATTAACGCGTCTACAAACAGCTGCAACTTCAGCTAATTCTAATGACAAAATATAGCTTTGTCATTGTTACAATACTATTATACATCTTGAATAAATATATGTATATTGAATGCATATATGTATATATATGTGATTATAATTTTATGTAAAGTATATTACTAAAAAAAAAATACTTACGGCAAAGAAAGTTATATCCCTGGGCTGAATTTAAAACTTCCTGCAAAACTAACTCTGACGTGATATTGGTAAATATATTGGCCGCGACTTGTAGTAGTAAAACACAACTTTCCATATATTGCTTCCATTCCCAATATACGGTCTGCAACAGAGAGAAGCGTTTGATAATATATACCAGACAAATAATTCGTTCTGTGTAGCTCAACTTTCTGACAATTCGATTAACGTGTGATTACCTGCTGTGGAGCTTCTATAACTTGATCTTCCTCTACGTTAGAAGGCAAAAATGATTTAAGATCTAAGCTAGGCACAGATCCAGAACGTGGCAGTGCTTCGGATGGACCGCTAATCAACTCTATACTATTTATCGAGATAGCATCCTCTTTCTGAACATTCTTTCCTAAGAATAATATATACTACTAGATTCAAGCAAAATGAGACACACACACACGTAAGCGAAAATAAAAACTGTCGCTGAGTATAGTGAGTGCACTAACCTGCTTCTACCAATTGTCCTTCAATTCCATCATCGAGTTTTAGATTACCGAACGACTCGGACACTTCAGATACAAAGTTCAGATCTGCTAAGTTACTGTTATCGGCATTAGCGTGCGTTTTAAACTCAAAATCCGCAAACATATTGCTAAAGCTCTCGATATCCAAAGCGTCTGATGTCGTGGGATTGGTGGATGGCTGTTCCGCCGACATAAACTCCCCGAACTCGTCAGCCGGCGACTGATTATTGTAAGTTAAATCTAAGCTCGCATCATTTACAACGGATGTCTCTTGAACTAGCTCGCGCAACGCGCTGTACTTATCCTCGACTTGTTGTAAGCTCATTAAATCTTGATGAACAGAATCAGACATTGCTACGGTAACGGCCTACAGACAAATTTGTACGTGTCAGCAAAAATTATATCGACATTAAACTTGTACAGACATATAAAGGCACAACTTGCTACGTGATCTTACAAGCTTGTCGCTATTTACCTTTGGTGCTAATTCCACTTTAGGTAACATCTCTTTGTCGCCGCTGACAGGCTCCGCCTGCTCCGCCAGATTGTTAAAACTGTCGCTGTGATCCTTAGGCGGGTCATTATTTCTAATCGCAGTGTCCTTAAGTATTACTGTTTTGGACTGACTCTTTATTCCGCATTTAGGAAACAGATCGGACTCTATCACGGGCTGATCCTTGCCTTGATATGGCAAACTCGCGGGCGCGGGCGTGCGAATTTGCGCGTTGATATGCACGGTTTTCCCTCCGCCAGCGGTCCTCTTGACTCTGTCGACCGTTTTCTTCACTCCCAGATTGTGATTGGCGAGCCGGCTGCCGATCGCGGAGCCCTGCTTGCTGTCCCAGATCGGCATGCTGGAGACGCTGGGGATCGGGGCGCTTTGGAACTCCGTAAACTCATCACAGGACTCGTCGAAGGACGACACAGACGGAACGTCGGCTTGAACGGCACGCGGATTCTGTCTCACGTCTTTGAACAGATTATTGACATTACTCCCAGCTGCACCCCCGCCGGGCGCCTGAACCTTGCCGTCGAAGCAAGACGACTTGCCAGGCGCGCCAGAGAAGAATATATTTGCATCAGGCACTGTGTTTACTTGGGCTCTAACTTTAGCTTTTCCCTTAACGTCGGGAATGTACTTTCCCTCCGCACACATATTATTGCCGGGTTCCTCGTAGTGCTGGAGTTTCGGTGCCTGCGCCGCCGCGGGACAGGCGGGCTGCAGATTCATCAGGCATTCTATGTTCAGGTAGGGCGTCGGCGGAAAGGGGAGCAAATGCAGGATGTCGAGGCTGTTGAAGGTGTAGGACGTCTGAGCGGCCGCCACGAGGGCCAGCACGATGTACAGCTCCTGCTCGGTCAGCTGGCCGGCGTACTTCTGGTTCGCCAGGCTCCATATGTGACCGAGCACCTCCGTCGGCAGCTGGCTGGTGAGCAGCAGCGGGAACACCTTGTTGGTGTCGACGAGCAGCTCGGCCTGCACGCCGTTCGACCTGACCCGATCCTCCCGCACCGCCTCCCACACCATCTTGTATACCGGCGGCAGGGTGGTCGAGTTGGTCCACAGCCAGCTCGGCAGCTGATTCAGCCTCTTGTTCGCGTGGCTCTTATTCATATTCTCGCCCGGACGAGGACTGGACGGCGGTGGAGGAGTTCACCCTGCAGCTACGAATGTCGCCCTTGCGGATTACGTGAACTCGTCTCGAGCAACGTCGAGCCCATCACGTTCAGACTGCTAGCTTGACGCACACATCGTTATACTGACGTCACGTCAGTAAGGAGGTCGAGCGTCGTCTAACGTCGGTCGCGCGAATGCCCGAGACTCGTGGTGCGGACGCTACCCCTCGCCCACATGGTGATGCTTAGCCTGCGACGAACACGCAATAGAACATGTACACAGCTCACCCCTACGTCAACTGACGAGTGACCTGACCAGTCCAGTCTCACCACCACACCTGATTTGACACCTGTCACTTCAGCGTATTAAATTTCCTTTGAATCGTTCGTTTTACGTGCACCTTTTGCACTCCAGATTCCTCGATCTTTTCTTCCCTGTAAATTAAATACACATTTCATTTTTTTAAAAAAGTAAAAAAAAATTAAGAAAAAAGAAGAAAAAAATAAAAAATATAAAAAAATTTAGCTACAAGGAACAGCTACTCGATAAGTTTGTTCATTTTATTTTAGTGTTTTACTTTTTCCAACACTTGACTACATTAATAATTCTGTTTCAGAAAATGTCACGAAACGCAAGTAAAAGATTTATTAGGTCTATTTGCGATTTTTTCTTACCAACTTCGACCAAAATTGATTGACGATTAGCTTGTCAATGTCAGTATTTTGTTAACATACACATTAAGGATTATTAATTTTTTACCTCTTGATATATAAAAAAAAATTAGATCAAGGACAAGTTTAGAAATTTTGTTGTAAGCATTTTTGCCAATTTAATTTAGTCGTCGATTAAATTTAACTGTTAGATTTATTAACCCAATATATACATGACAGAAATGAACATAAATGCGTATTGTTGTTACGCCATATTGTATTATCGAAGCCCTAACCAATCAAATCGCCACATGAAAAAGCGCCTTAACGTTTGCTGATGCCGCCGCTGATGGCGCCATTAACCAACAGAATCACACGAGCGATCGTCAGCGGAGGAGCGTCAAGGAACCTCTCGCACTGAACTCGAACGATTTGACGTTTCGTTCGCCAACTCGATCGTGATCGCCGAGCGACAGCCGACAGCGAGGATGTCGACGGACTTCTACATACGCTACTACGTCGGCCACAAGGGCAAGTTCGGGCACGAGTTCCTCGAGTTCGAGTTCCGGCCGGACGGCAAGCTGCGCTACGCCAACAACTCCAACTACAAGAACGACACGATGATACGCAAGGAGGCGTACGTGCACCAGTGCGTGATGGAGGAGCTCAAGCGCATCATCCAGGACTCGGAGATCATGCAGGAGGACGACTCGCTTTGGCCGCAGCCGGACCGCGTCGGCCGCCAGGAGCTGGAGATCGTCATCGGCGACGAGCACATATCGTTCACCACGTCGAAGACCGGCTCCCTCCTGGACGTGAATCAGTCGCGGGACCCCGAGGGGCTGCGGTGCTTCTACTATCTCGTGCAGGATCTCAAATGCCTGGTGTTCTCCCTGATAGGGCTGCACTTCAAGATCAAGCCCATATAGACCCGGCGTCGCGCCGCTTCGTCCAAAGACCTCTGTAACTCCCCCCCCCTCCCCGCCACCCCTCTACGGTCCTTCTATTTTAATAAAATACACGTAGTTATTTTGTACTTCGACTGTGCTTCCTTTACCCCCCCTCATTCGTGAAACTCGTTTGGACTCGGGTGGAGTCGCAAGGGAAATTAAATTGCATTCGTCTCTTCGCGAATTACTTGTATCTAGTAAATAGTACTGTCGAGTTGCGGTCGGACCTAACCTGATCTGAGCCATCCGAGAGAAAGCGGCTGGTGTGTGTAACACGCGTCCGTGGCGATCGTCGGATCTACACGTATTTATCTCGATATATATATATATATATATGTATATAAAGTATATGACGAAATGTGATTAGAACAAAAGAATGACGATTGCAGGTGTTGCAGCGTACGGTAACAATACCTCACGTAATTTGCAGTCATTGTTCGGATCTGGATACGGTTCCTAACCTGCAGTTCCTAAACGCGACCACTTATTGCATTCCGTGTAAAGAATAGAGAACAAAAGAGTTTAAGACGCTCGAAATTGCAAATTTATGAAGCGGATTCATCAAGGGAAAACTGGTAAAATTATTTAATAAGCAATATCGACCGATATATGAACCAACAATATAGTGGAAATAAACTTGTTCGGTCAAAGCGAATGTTTTGATATTTAGTAATATTTTTTGCATGAATTTATATTCGATTTATATTTTCCAATTTATGCAAACTGCGCGACATCTTATTTCTATTATTAGTTAAAATAATAAATCGTACCGTAGCTTAAAATCGAAAGTCTAAGTGTGGGTTTATTAACCTTAGTTTAAAAACGCTTCTTATCGTTGGAAACATCCTTACCACAAAGTTTATTGCTTCAAATTTCTTAACAAATGTATTTTGAATTTTAAATTTTGTAAATAGAATGTCATTTTTTTTGTTGAACGTTTCGTTGATCGACCAGTTTGGATCGTAGATGTCAGCAGATATGCCAAACAACAAGGACACCAGGAATCAGGAGGAATTCGAGGATCGCGTCGTCACGGACTCGGTTCACGAGAGATTTCGGCAAACGCGTGTTCGTTGTGACGAGTGCGATCGCGACATCCCGGGAGACGGGGCTGCCATAAGGAAGCACTTTGACGATTCGCATCCCTCGGAGAGGCACTGCTGCTACTGCAAAGGCAAGGTGTTTACATATCGAAAGATCACGACAATGGATTGTAGAGAATCGTCAGAGAGTTTTGTATATCACAAATGCAAGCACGAGGAGCAGTTCCAAACAAATGCATTGAAAAAATCTTCCTAAATGTCAATATTTCATTGTCTTCAGTAACTTCTAGATATCATATTTTTGAATTTGATATCTTTAATCGAAAGAGACAGTGTACTGTGAGAGAGTATACATGGTAAATTATGACAGCTACATAATTCTTAGTAATGAAAAATTAGTCGATTAAAATTAGAGATTTTATTGGAATACATGGTCTGCCTCAAAAATAATGAGATTAATTCTGTAAAGTTGCTTGGACCTTTTTAATCGTCCCAAAAGTGTCTGACTGTCCGACACTGTTTTGGACCGATTAAAAAGGTCCAAGCAGCCGCAACGAGTGTTCTGAAAGGCACATTTGAAGCCTTGAAAAATATTGAGTATTTTCAATAAAATGATTTTTCCAAAATTAGTCTCATTACTTTTGGAACAGACCATGTATGTAACATAAAAAATTGCCAACATGCTTGCCTGATTAGCGGATAAATGTCAAGAGTCAGAAATGTCTCATGCCAAGTTTATACGTCAGTGACATATTATATACACAATATAATCAGGGTTGGATAATAACTAGTTATAATAATTAGTTAAAAGATAAATAAGAAAGTTAAAAAGTTAATAACTTTTAACATAAAAAAGCAAAAGTTAATAACTTTTATCTTAACTTAGTTAATTTTTAACTTTAAGTTATTTTTAAAACCTTATTAATATTTTTTCTATGTCAAAAAATTTTTTATCTCTGCCAATATTTTTTTCTATAAAATTTTAAATATTAAAAAATTAGTTTAGAAAAAGCTCAATAATTGCAATGAGTGCAACGCTTACAGTAGCCAAAGATGAACAAAAATTGACAAAGTTTACATTTTGTTTCACGCATGATGCATATAATGCATAATTTATTTTTGTTTAATATTCGATAAACAATGAATAAATGATAATGCATCATGCGCATAATGTGGAATACATTCTTAGACTCTGCATTCAGGGAGCGTTATAGATAAAATGACAATAGCGTTGATAGCAACAATAGTATGTTTCCCGAAGCCCTGAATGCAATCTTACTGTCAGTAGAATAGAAAGTCTATGATTAAAAAAAATCAATTAAAATTTGATTCATATCGTAGTTATTTTGTTATTTATATTTAGAGTAATCTAATTTTTGAAAATTATACATGTTATAAATTAATGTAATCAATGTTTTTAAAATTAACTTGTAATTTGAGTTAATTTAATCTTAGTTTTAACTTATTTTTTTTGCATGCAACTTTTAACGTAAGTAAATTAATTTTAGAAGCCATTATCTTTAATGGCTTAATTTAGTAATTTAATAACTTAATTTAGATAAAAAAATTTACCCAACCCTGTATGTAGTGTATGTAATCAATTCTGTCTATCAATCAATACTCGGTGACAAGTACTTGGTTTTTAAAAAACCTCAAATTTTTGACATAATTTATAAGTGATGTCTCTCTACTATATTTTGAACAATGAATTAATCAAATATATTTTATAATGTAAATATTGATGAATAATTATATATAATTCTATATATATATATATATATATATATTCAATATATTTCGATATATTATATATAATGATAATACATCATATATATATACCATTACATAATATTCTATGTACTTATAAAATTTTTATGTAAATAATGTATCATGTATTTTATATGTGTATATTTTTATGTAAATAATTTATATCTGTGTGTGTGTGT